TAGTTTACAGGGCCTTTTGAGGGCCCTGTGATTCGAGGTTTTTCTTTTTTGGCGCGCTCCAAGGAGTTGCGCCTATCCTTCGGCGTCTGAGACGCCGGAGGAGCGGGACTTGTATCCATCACCTCTTGCGAAGTGGTGGATGGTGCCTGCTGGGCAGGCACATTCACTGAACTTTCGGACCTAACTGCGCCTGCAGTGGTCCGAGGTTCAGCAGACACTGGGGTCTGCCAGCCCTGTTTGTCAGGTGGCGGAGCAGTACAGGCTGCTCCAGCTGGGGGCGCTGGCGGCACGACCGCGGCCACACACTGTGTGACATTCGCGGGTGCCGAGGCATGTGGCGCGGCGCCCCGGCGCGTAACATCTGCAAAGGAGGGATAAGATGGGTTGTGTATTGCAAAACGTTGGCGTGCTTCTTGGAATGTGAGATTGAATTTAACCTTAAGTTCTACTATTTGTTTCTCTTTTTTCCATGCGGGACATGATCGTGAGTAGGCAGCGTGATCTCCTTCACAGTTCGAACAATGGGTTGTTTCTGAGGTGCAGTTGTCCGATATGTGTTGAATGGATGCGCACTTTGCGCAAGTGGCACGCCCTCTGCAACTCTGCGATCCATGACCGAAACGTTGGCACTTGAAACATCGACGAGGGTTGGGAATGTATGGTCTTACACGAAGCTTACAATAGCCGGTTTCGATTGATTCTGGTAGGTCGCTTGTTCCGAAGGTAATTATTACGTGCTTTGTAGGGGTCAGTTTGTTGTTGCGCCTTATTGTTATTCGTTGGAATTTGACCACGTTCTGGTCCTGCCAACCTTCGAGCAGCTCACTTTCAGAAAGCTCAGTAAGATCATCATCAGAAATGACACCACGGGCAGTGTTCATGGACCTGTGTGGGCCCACCGAAACAGGGGTTTCCCCAAAGGCTACAAGCTTAGACAGCTTTTCATACTGAGCTTTGTCACGAACCTCCAGAAGAAGATCGCCACTTCCCATCTTTGTCACTTTATAACCTGGGCTTATTGCTTCTGTGAGAGTTTTGGAAACGAGGAAAGGTGAAATGGCTCGGACTGTCTTGTTTTCGTTTTGACTGTGGACTACATGGTACTTTGGGAATGTCGGCTTTGGTGTGTTAGCAAGGATAGTATCATCGGTGCGCCACCTTTTTAGGGAGCGATCAGGAAGGGAGGGAAAAGCTTTTGCCATAAAAATACTATAAAGTTCGGCGGCGATGGTGGCCACCCACCACCGAGCCCAACAAGGGGACGCTACAAGGTTGACTAGTGAACACTTGCAGACGCCAGCCATGCATCGCCGCTATAACCGAATATAACTACCCAAGGTTGGGTAACTACATAGGGTTAACCCTTGCCGCCAGGAAATTTGGAAGTAATCGGAAAAGAGAAGATGACTGGACAGAAAAAAAAGTGAGAGATAAAGACAAAGATGTAAGAAGAGAGAGATAGGAAAAGGCGACTGCCGGTTTCCCCTGGGTGGGTCAGCCCAGGGGTGCCGTCTACGTGAAGCCAGGGTCAAAGGGGTGTGTTGCCTCTGCCAGGGGGCCTTAAAGGTCCAATCACCCAGCGTCAGCTCAACCCCCAGGATTCCCTTTTCCCCGGCAACGGCAAAGCCACGTACGGCTAGGCGTGAGAGGGAGCCGAAACTCCCCCGTTAGCTCGGGTCTGTGGTGTCGCTACACACCAAACGCCTACTTGCGCAGGCGCCCCTGCGGGGATACACTAGAGAAAACTCTGTCAGTAGTGTCTGTGGGAGCTGCCACGCATGGCGCTTGAGTCAGCATGGGAATGATGGGCGGTACACGAATTTGTCTCAGCTTCCTTATTTCGGCCCCTTTCCGCTTCGCGTGTCGTGGAGCCGCTTTGTCGCGCGAGGACAGTCAACAAAGGTGTAGCAATTACTAAGCTTTACCTCCTTGACCATGGCTCACAGATTAAAACAGTATCGCGACGTTCGACTGTCTTTTACTCGAAACAAAACTTAAGCAGAGCAATGAAGAAAGCCACAATTGCGTTAGAAATCGAAAGCACGAGGACTAGGCTAATTTGCGTACTATTCAGGGTGGGTAAACGAGCGCAGCGCCAGGGTCGCCTGTAGTTATCTTTAGGAAATTGTTAAGGAATGCATAAATATTCGTGTATTGTTTAATTTCTGCGCGCTTGCTTCTATTTTTATAACGTACTGTAATGCTGGCCTGTAAATACTCTTCAGTTACCAATATCATCTTAGCTTTCATTCTTTGCTTCCATATTCTGAGCGCTTCTTGTTCTCATACACTAGTGCTTTACAGTTGTTAATCACTCCATCGCAGCCGTTTAGCGGGTTCACTGCAACCTAGGCTAAGTCATGACGCAGGTGCAGGGCCATGGTGTAGCCAGGGTGTGGTACACGAGGCATGTGCTCGCACCCCCCCCCCCCCCCCCCCCCGAATTACTATTTCCCTATGGTGTACACTGCGAAAACAAAAATTGCCGTTTCAAAGAGGTGCCCTCCCACCCTCCGAAATCAAAAAGATGCCCTCACGTCGCCACAATAAAAAAAAATCCTGCCTAAACCACTGTGCAGGTGTGTCTGCAGCCCTGGGTACGTTTACCGCGCTGTTGGCGGATACGAGAGTTGCTCACCCATCGAGTGCCACCATGGCCTCGCTTGTCCCGTACAGGGGGCGCGATGCGTGGACTACGCTTGCGTTTGCCAAGAGGGCAACGAGTCTGTTTCGTGCAGGTGGGTGACCTAGGTTCTTTTCGCACTAAGTCATCAGCGTCCTTTTTCTGCAACCTCCTGAAGTTTAGGAAAATTGCTGCAGTCCTGTTTTGTCCGCTTGATAGCAGATGCAGCAATACAATTTGACCATTCAAAGCAGGTCATTTCTTTTTCAAGCGACTGAGATACCTGCACATCCCAGCATCTCCATTAAGTTATGTCAAGATAGTAGTAATTTTTGAAAAATTGTTCAGAAATAAACTCTCATTTAGCTCAACCTATATTCACACTTTGTTGACGGCAATTTTGGTATGAACTATGCTGCAATTTACGGGCAGTAAAAGAGTGAATAGGCCGTGTTGGATACCATGATAATAAACTAATCAAAGTTGGACCAGTACAGGCATAAAAAAAACCACTACTAACATTGTTCCCATGGAAAGTTTGCGATGCGAACCAACCTTACTTGAGGTGTCAAGCTGGATCCGCCAAAAGATTTGTATTTGATTTGACAATCAATTTGCTGGGAAAACTGGCAAGGATAAGTAGTTTAGTTACCGAAAAAAGTTGAATTCTGTTCCATCATAAATATCAAAAAGAACGCTGAGTAGTACTCAGCGTACTTGATCTCTGAGGCCAGACATTCGCGGTACGTTCATTTTTTTTAGAAGCCATAATGCACTCTCTTCATTGTCATCGCTAACAAGGGGCACAAGATTTACGTAGTAGTGAGACATTCGAGTTAACACCTATGCTCGATGCTAGCGCCCCATCTGTTTGCGTCATATTTCGCGATATTTAATGAGAACATGAAAATAGTGCCTGCTCAGAGGGCTCCAATGATGTACACTGGCAAATAGTTTACCAAAAGTAAACTTAATATAGACTGGTGTTTAGATCAAAAAGTTTTATATAGAAAAAAACATTATTCGCATATTAGTAAATTACTCAGCCACAATTGCGAGATTCTTGCACTTGTCATGAGACGACGATCAGTATGTGAGAAAACGAGAAAAAAATTACGGTGATCCGCCACCTTGAAATTTTTGTATCATGTGTCATGACGTCATACGCTGTACAGGCATTTACTGGGTTCTACATTGTTGTTTAATCTCTAAAAATGAAGTCAATTGTCCTCTGATAGGCCATAGACTTATCGGATTGAATTTCAGGAATTTTTCCGGAGGCAACGTGGCCGCATTACGAAACCTAGACGCTTCGGACGTCACGTTACGGAAATCTCGGACGTCACGTTCGACAATTTCGGCGCAAGGTTTAAAAACAAAATATTGACCTTTATTTTCTTATCTGTAAGTTATCCTATGACATATATTCAAATTGTCGTTATGAGATCTCTCTGAAATAAATTATTGTATTTACTTTAGTGTTCTCATAAGCTAAACCTGGCTAAATTAGGCACACGCAAGTTTCTCACAATAGCAGGGCCGCGCGCGATGTCTTTTTGCGAAGGGAGGGAAGCCCCGCCATGTTGTCCTTTTCCGAAGAAGAACCTTCTGCACGAGAGACGGTGCTAATGCTGTGCGGTGGGGCGGTAGCCTTCATGGCCATCGGCGCCCTGCCCGTGCTGGTGTGGAGGCACTTGGGACCGGGAAGGAAACTGAGGCGCCCTCCCACGGCGAACGCCGATGGCGTCGGTCAGTACCTCTTGGCATGGCCGCAGCACGCCGTGCCAATCGCCTCTGCGCGTGTTGCGCAGGAGCCCGCCGCCAGGGCGCCCAAGAGACGATATCCGTTCGAGGCGCACAACATGTGACGCCACATGTGATAGGAAAAGTGTTGGCTTTGTCACAAATTGCAGCGATAATTTCAGGCATTACTAGTATATATGTTCGTTTCTGCATAAATGATTGTAATACATTGTTGTACAGGCTACTGAGCGTGTGGTTTCCTCAAAGCTAGAATTGTTAATAACCTATTCCTTTTCCGCATTTAGAGTGATGCATATATTTTGGTTCTTTTATATTCTCAGCCTGAGAGGTGCTAAGCAGACTTTACGGGAACGGCGGGGAGGCAATAAACTCTCCACAAATAGACTATTCAGTCTACAAAGTGACAAAGATTGTGTGCTTAGCGGAAGAAAGAAAATGTATAGTAATAATATATTGTCTATATTTGCCAAAACGGTTCACAAAACACGACAGTAAACTTGGATCAGAAGTATACAAAAAAAAAAGAGACCACACACGAGACGGCTGCGTCATTGCCTTATTCGGTTCCGAAAATTGGACAATTTTCATAATATAAGAAAACAAGACTTTTTACTTCAATTTAGATAGACTGATCGAAATGTTTATTGAACAGCTTCTCATATTTTGTCAGCGTGGTGCCTGACAATGTGAGTGCTTTCATCTCAATGCTGCGTAGTATAGGTACAGATAATTCGTTCAGTGTACAGGTTTATTAACAAATACAACTGGTTTTGCTGCTTTGTGGCTTGGAAATGGGTAGTTTTATTTGTTTTTGTTACTCCTGGGGGTAGAGTGCGAGAATACATAATGTGTGAAAACATAAGCACTTCTCGTAAAGAATGTTTGAAGTGACTGGCGGATTTTTACTGGCCGCTAGGAGGAGTCCATGTCACTGTGTATAATTTATATGTTTGATTTATCGTTCAATAGCTCGTGAGAAATGTGAATTGTTTCTTCCAGCACGGAACGCGATACATGCTAACGCTACCTCCAACTCCAGCAGTCTCAGGTAACACAAAGGCAAGGAAGTTCGCGTAGAAAGGCTGAGACGACCGAAAACGTAAAATTCCAGGTTTCTAAATACCAAATCAGTTTCCCAAAACGGTGCAATAAAAAATATACATGGTTAACTTTTCCGTACGACCGTGGAAGGACTATATGTATATAAAATGCAGGCAGTTTACTGAAACACAAATTATGTACAGCAAACCAAATCATATCATTCAAGCCAAGTTAATTTCGACATTTAACTGATGTTGAGGGTAATAAGTAAAAAGACAGCAAGACTTTATACGATGAACGGCACAGACAGAAGCAAGAAACTTCGCTGCAGCTAATTTCTGCGTAGTAAAGGTATAGATTTGATAAATGTGTAGAATTTATTTACAAGCACGCGTTCCTCTTACAGGGAAGTGAGTCTCGGGAAACACATATGAAAAATTGATAGTATAAAAATGCCAAGCGCATGCACTTGGGGGGGGGGTGTTTTAATTGGACTGTTCATGAGTGTTTGTGCGGATGTGCAGTTTGGAGTCCTTAGTCGTATTAGTATTAACGGTTCCGGTCCACGTTGTTGGAAGGCTCGCCCTCTGGACACAACTCATGCTGGATGTCTTCCACGGCCGCCTTTATACGCTGCACTTCTTGGTGCAACACGCTCACAGTTTGCGTCACGACACTCTGCGACTTGCTTCTAGCTTCAGCGTGTGCTTTGCGGGCCCGGATGGAAGCTTCCAAAGTCGCCTTCACGTCGGCCACTCGTTGCTCCAAGGTCGATTTGAGCTCGTCGAACTCCCGTCGAACCTCTTCGTCCTTCTTGGCATTCTCTTCGATGACTCTGAGCGTCTGTTCGAGTCGTTCCTTGGCTTCCCTGACGGCGGCCCCCAATTCTTCTTGGGCGTCTAGGCGCTGCCGAGAGACCTCGGTGATTTTCGAACTTAGCTGTTTTTCTCGGTGGTGGCCTTTTCTAGGTACTGCTTTATGTCGCCCAGTAGCGTTTGGATGCCACGCATTTCGTGTTGCAAGGCCGCAGAACTTGGCGTCGAGGAAGACTTCCGGCTCAGGGCGTGGGCCGAACAACGCGACTCCATGTGGTCGATCATGTGTCGCTGAAGAACCGTGGCCGAACACTTGGGGCAGCGCGAGGGATGGTAGGAACACGTTTGGTAAAAATGGTTGGCCATGCTGGAAACCGTGGTGACGGCTTCGCAGCCGTACTCCTTGTTCCAGCATGTCACCTGCAGCATAAAAAAAAAAACACACGACCTTTTTGAGATCAAGAAAAAAAAAAGCTTATGATGCACAAGGCGTCTGAATTTATAATTAAATTCAAAATGTAAAAGGTTAAAAATCATGCGCTGGTGTGGGGCACGCATTTAGCTCGAAAGCTACCAAGTTGACAAACTTTTATATACATGTTGAAAGACTGGCATTGTAAGTACAGAGCACCTGGGAAAATTTCCAATTATGGGAATCTCTGTGGGGTAAGAAAAATTGAGGCTTACCAAGAAATCTCAACTAACTTAACTTGAAGGAGACTTAGCCAGCCACGTAAAGGAAAATGACAGGTGTAGCTTTTAGGGACAAGAAGAGAGCAGAGCAAGGCAGAGAACAAACTGTTGTTTAGGAGCCCCTAATGGAAATCAAGAAGAATAAGCATGGTTAGGACACTCTCAACCAAGACAAGGTAAACGATGGTAATTACTAGTAACTTACTGGTTTGTAAGAGAAGGAAAGTCTGTGACGGGAAGACAAAGTGGCAGATTAGATTAAGTAGTCTGTGGGACAACTAGGCCGCAGTAGGCGCGGGTGAAATATGCGAGTGTCTTCTGCCTCACTATAGTCGCAGTCAGGCTGCTGATGATGATGACAATGAAAAAAAAAAGAATCGACGTGTTATATTTTAGTTGTAACATGGTCCCGAAAAACGGTTTGCGGTCGTGACAATCATTTTGTAAGCAGCGTGTAGGCTTTTTAATATATACAATATTTGCCTTTTAATGCAATGGTTACAGACTAAATGATATAGAGCTAAATTGACATACCAACTGCTCCAATATTTAATGGTGCAGAAGCTTGGGCTCTCTTTCGATTGTTCGTTATAGAAAAGTGCGACGGTCTATACGTGCAGCCTCTCCTTGCTTGGAATAACACAAGCACAAAGCAATAAGTGACGAATAAACATTCACCATGAATAACAAAGCACCGGCGAAAAATTTGCGTATGCAAAAATAGCCCGGACGGGGTCATTTTCAACATGTCAAAAGAATATTTATCACACAACACCCCAGTGTTGTGTGATAAGTATTCAGCCCATGGAGCGCTCCTGATGAGGAGCGCTCCATGGGCAGAATATTCGAAATAGTAAAATCTAAGCGTGTTTTATGAAATGCTTGTTTTATAGTGTTCTTCCTGAGTAGGTGGAGGTGAGTACGTTATAAAAAATATGGCTTAGTTGATTAAGAGAATGTTGCTAACTTTTCTTTTTCCCCAAAGCAAATGGATGTATATAACTGCTCATCCGGATGCTTTGCAACAGCAACATTTCAACATTCTTTTTTAATGTCAGAATAAGGAGATATATGACTAATTGCACGTAGATTACGTAGTGTAACTCTTATGGCATTTATTATGGCCCTTATATTGTGAAGCCGGAGTATCTTTAGACGCCTAATCTTATCGGGGAATGACTCACGCTGAAGTGTTTTGCTCACTATATATGAGGAAGCCGGTGAACGGTGATAAGGTGTTCACGCGAACGAAGCCTTCAGTTCGTACGAAAGGCGACGCGTATTAATAAAACGGATTCACTTGCGGTGATCTCGGCTAATAGTCTAATTAAGATATGAATTATAATATGAAAAAATGGTGAAAACAACTATAACATCGGCTAATACAAAGTCTGTAACGGAGACAGCTAATAGTGCTGGAGTATGTGCGCCGCGGCCACAGGCCTACTTCCAATGGTGAGAGAAAAGATCAGTTATCACGGTAGGCGAATACTAAAACTAGTACTACTGTTACGAACGATACAGCTGCCACTGCTAACAACCGCAGCAACGACAATAACAATACACTACTACTGCTGCTGGTACTACTTATATAAATACTAGGAGAAGAGCAATAAAAAGAGCAACATCAATAATATTAGTAATAATATTATAATACAAGTACTAGTACTACTACCGCCACTAGTACAAAAACAACAACAACAACAACTACTACTACTACTACTACTACTACTACTACTAATAATAATAATAATAATAATGATATTGCCATCATCATCGACTACGGTAACCCTTTAGCAGCTATACAGTGTCGAGAACCGCACTAGCGAACGCAAATAGAACCAGTGCTATTGATAAGACTGTACTACTGTTGCACAATGATGATGACGATGATGATGATGTCATGGTGATAACTGTTTGCTGTCAGTGCTGTCAGCCGCAAGGTGGCGAGAAGGCACTTTCTTTGGGGGGAGGAGTCATGCTTTTCAACGTTTCCAAGTTCTAAATTTACGGCGGTCGTTCGTACCTCTCTCCCAAGCAACTTCTGGGCTGAAAACTCTCTCCAGTCAACCAGGTCCTCCGGACAGGCCTCGCCGTCCATGACGCACACGTGTCCTCTGCTCCTGCACTGGTCGTAGCACGTCTCGCACAGCACATGGCGGCAGGGCAGGAACCCACTCTTCCTCGGCACTAGGCGACACGCGCTGCACACCCTGGCGTCGTCGATGGGTTGCACGAAGTGCCAGGGTCTCCTGTCTATGGCCTCCGAAAACCCGTACAACGTGTACGTGCCCATGTCGTGCGACAGGACGGCCGAGAATAACCAAACTTCTTCGCAACCTTTCCAGCGTGTGCCGAAGGACACTGCCTGGAGAAGTAAGGCCCGTTTCGCACTCGGGACGCGTTGGTGACTGCGGCTATCACTTTCTTATCGCTGACGAGTTCCGTTCGCTCGAGCGAACAGCGCTTATCTCTGTGAGTCCTGCATTATGGTAGTGTATTTGTAGCCGGAACGTTAAAAAAGAGAACCAGAAAAAAGAGTCAGTCAAAGAGTCGCGGTGACTTGAATAGCGCTATATATATATATATATATATATATATATATATATATATATATATATATATATATATATATATATGGGTGGGTTTGAACTTGTTTGCACATCTCATATCAAGGAAGAGCGAGGACGCACGGGACTGTTTGTCTTTGTTGTCCCATAAGGCCACGCTCTTCTCTGATACGAAGCGCGACTTGGAGAGTGTAAAATGAGCACCTGGTTTGCAATGTGCGATATGAAGGCACCGATGGTGTTTTTGAAGGTTGCACATCCTAATGAAACTTTATGAGTAATGCCCTGCCGCGGTGGTCTAGTGGCTAATGTACTCGGCTGCTGACCCGCAGGTCGCGGGATCGGATCCCGGCTGCGGCGGCTGCATTTCCGAAGGAGGCGGAAATGTTGTAGGCCCGTGTGCTCAGATTTGGGCGCACGTTAAAGAACCCCAGGTGGTCTAAATTTCCGGAGCCCTCCACTACGGCGTCTCTCACAATCATATGGTGGTTTTGGGACGTTCAACCCCACATATCAATCAACTTTATTAGTAAGTACGTTGTGCATGTAGTGTGCGCGATGGCACGTGTTATTTGTGTGCATATGCGATCGCTGTATGTGTTAGTCACCAACACCTCGAGAAGCGAGCAAGGTGATGAACAGTACTAACCTCCCTGAGTAATAAATAAAATTTGGGGGACCCTACAGCTTTGAACATGGAACAGGAAAGGGACAGGATAGAACGAGAACTTGTAAGTGGACGCCATATCTTGTCACATTCCTGTTCCGTTAGGGGTATTCTGCCATATGGCATCATTTCTGTCCCTATCGTGTGCCATTCTTTTTTTATCTATCTGGGTTGTGTCTTTAGCGCTTATACAGTTCTCATTATGCTAGTTGTGTCAACTCGTGATGAAAAGTGAGCAAGATGCATTGCTCATTAAACGAACTGAATTTTCTGCATATTCAGTATGTCTTGACTTCCGTGTGCAGCGTATAACCGTATTTAACCGCTTTTGTTAAGGTACTGCGATGTTCGGCGGGTCGTTCGACGTGCCGTGCTTCAGGACCAAAGTCAAAAGTAATGTTTGCTTTTCCCGTAATGAGTAAAACGGAAAACTACTTACGCGTAAATTCGGAGCCTTTGATTTCATTCTTTTCATCTCAAAACAAAACATGATCAATTGGAGAATAATGAAATATTTTAATTACATACTTAAGGAAATCCGTGACTAAAGCTGCAGGCAGATCTACTCGTGTCAAAAAGAAACATGAGTGACTACGGAATATTTGAATATTTTAATTACATACTCAAGAAAAGCAATGACTAAAACTCACACTACACGACACATTGCTTCATTTTTTCTTAGAATTGTAATGTTGAGAGCCTTGAAGTTATGCTAGGTGAATTTAAAACATTCACAGCCAGGGCAACAAAATTCACCCTCGAAGGGGTTATTTTCTCTCCGAGAGAAGTTTAGAAGGAATGTTCTCTAGCAGTCGATTTTGTCAGGCCTGGAACGGTGCGAGAAGTGTGGCAGCTTGGGCTAGTTGGTATGGCATGACGATAGTTATAGCGCGAGAACAAAACGACGACACAGAGACAAGAAGTGTCTTTCGTGCCCTTCTTGTCTCTGTGTCGTCGTTTTGTTCTCGCGCTATAACTATCGTGGTGCGAGAAGGTTGTGAACGCATGCGAGTTTTGTGTCTTGTTGGAAGTCTGAGTTTTCCATGATACCGCGGTACTTGCACCCTCGAAAAAAGTCGCGAAACGTTTCCTGGCCTCGGTGGCCTTCGTTCTAGCAATGCCAGTTCTCCCAGGCCCTACGAAAACCGTAACAAAACGCTAGGGGGCAGCACAGTAAAATTGAAAAGGCCTGTTCGAGGGGAGGGGCCAGTGGGGCTTTTAGGCTGTGCCGAACTACAGAGGTCTTCCCGAAACGCTGTACTGAGCCAACGAGCGCTGCGCATGCAACGTCACTTGTAGTTCAGGGCCCTCTATAGGGTGAAAAATTAAATATACCCACACTCGGTCATGGCCTCCAAGATTAGCCGGTGGTGCGCTCATCTCGGAGGCCACGACTCAATTTCAAGCATCAGGCGTGATCCTATGGAAGCTCGTGAAATAAGTTAGACTAGATGCGTTCGCCCCAAGAAATGGTTTAATCGTTTCGCCGCGAGTAATGCGATTTGTTTTATTTTTCCTTTTATACTCAAAAATAGAGAAAGGTGATTTGTGCCAAGAAAGAAGCCCGCCGCGTTATTCATACCTTTCTAACTGGGTTGTACTGGATCACACAGCTTCTCTTTTCTCCTTGGGGATTTGTTCTGATTGCGCACAGCTGGAGCCAATCACAGGTGTCATGTTTGCAGCACTGAAATCCTAGCGCGAGACACGCTTACTTATTTTGCTCACTCGACTTCTTGACGCTTCCCCTTGCTTCCGCGGCGGTCAGAGAAATTATGCAGCCCGCGATGCTTAAATTAGCCAATGGCCGTTGACTTTGGGTTCGGGGTGTGGTGGCATGGCGTTATGACGTCAATTGTCGAAAGAAGAGGGAATGGTTTTGAACTGATCTTGTGAATGAACTATGCATTACAGTCCTCGTGCTGAGCTATTAACACTTGACTTCGCATGTTCTTCAGGGCATCGAATTGCGATTGGCTGCGTTTACTGACAACGCTTAAAAAGTGTGGCAGGGCACTTTGCGATAGATAACTTTACGTGGAGGAACCTTTGAATCGTGCCAGGCCGTGAGAATTGCGTTACCAGGAGGTGGGGGGGGGGGGGGTTTAGAGCCGCCTGTTCATAACAAACGCTTCACCACCCGCAGTTGATTGTCCTCCTCTTTAGCACAAGTCCCAAAGTAAAAAAAAACGTGCTCTTACGCGATCGCCCGTATTCGCTTACAGACAGGCATAGTGTACTTTTGAAAAATAGAACACGCGTGCACAGACGAAAGTTAGGGCGAGGCCGACAAGATCCGCTAACTCTATCGAGTTCCACTCTTATAAAAAGATGCCTAAACGCCTTCCCATTCTTTGCAGAGGATTGTTGAGCTGTACATTTGTAGGCGTGCATCGGAGAACGAAATCGGGAAGGTAGTAACTATAATATTATCTGGGGTTTTGCGTCCCAGAGCGAAAGTATGATTATGAGAGACGCCGTAGTGGAGGGCTGCGCAAATTTCTACCACATGCTGTTTTTTTTTGTACGTGCTCTTGGATCGTACAGTACATTGGCGTCGACCTTCTCGCCTCCATATTTCGGGAATCTGAACATCCTGTAGCCACTTCGCGAGTGGTTTGTGCACTGTGGCACGCAACACCCGGGAAATTCGCCCAAGACAGCGCCTCGCACGTGGCTCACTGTGAAAATACGAGGGCAACCGAATGGCGGCTGCCGATCGGAAGGCGGCACTCTACCTTCAAAGAGTGGTTCCATCTTCCAAGGGGGCGCGCGCACCGAGGAATCCTACACATTGGGATCTTCGGGCGCCACCTCACGCGATCTTGCATTACTTAGGTGGACGGCTCACCAATAACCTAGCGGAAATGTCATGTGAAGACGTCATCACGTGACGTCACTTTAGGAGCCGTCATAGTGACGTACGATGACGCCACGAGCGACACCGTGATGACGTCGAGTAGAGAAGCAATCCCATAACGATAATTTTTAGCCTCTCTTGTGTTGACGATACCCTGGTGTTTACTTTTTGTATTTTGTGAAACATCTAAAGTTTTTGTCTCGATGATCTATTTTACTGCTGCGAATGCCTGAAGAATTGCCCACTTAGGGGCAAACTTATACGCTCGACAGAATGTCTTTCTTGATTGATTGATTTTTGGGGTTAAATTATATGGCTAAGATACGACGTGGTGGAGGGCTTCGGAAATTTCGACCACCTGGGGTTGTTCAATGTGCATTTAAATCTAAGCACACGAGCTTTCAGCGATTTCGCCTCAATCGAGAATAGAATATCTTTTTAACAACGAATTAAGCTTTCCTGTAGAAAGAGATGATTCAACTATATTGACAAACATCGACCAGAGTTTCTGCATAACTTTTTTTAATGCATAACCAGAAGAAGGTACACGTGTCAGCCTGCGAACAGGTCATGCCGTGTTTTCGTTGTCAAGGCAATATAAATAATAAAAGGAACAGTAAAGGTCTTAAAAAAGGCACTCACGTGAACAAAAAAAGGCAATATTGCGACAGCAATAAATAAAGCCACAAGTTTTCGCACAAAATTGGGAACAACCTTTGTTGTAGGAGAGCAAATCACATGAAACCAATGAGTAACAAAAAGCTGTTTCAAAACATGCATCATGAGCTACAACCCCCCCCCCCCCCCCCCAAAAAAAAAAAATCAAGTACTTAGCTATGAGATATGTGTCATCTCAGTGTAGCCTCATCTGCCACAGCCTTCAGTTGCATCTGTCTTGATAGTTTCGTTACAAAAATATGTGAGGTTTAACGTTCCAAAACCACCATTAGAGTAAGAGGGGGGACGCCGTGATAGAGAGCTCCTGAAATTTCGACCACCCGGGGTTGCTCACACTGTACCAAAATCTAAGCACATAGGTGTACAATATTTATGCCTAAATTGAAAGTGCAGTGGTCGCTGCCGGTATATTTCGTCCCATGACCTGTGGGTCAGCAGCCGAATGCAGCCGAACTTAACAACCGTGGCGGTTTATGAGAGATATCCGTGAGTGCCGCAGAAGCCATGGGCACAGTGACTTCATAGTATCAATACGAAAATTTCAAGCACAGTTTAAGCACGTCACCCAAAATGATTCCATTGTGCTTAAGATAATTTATTGTTAAAGAAGGTGACTCAAATCCGC